GGAAGTTTTTCGAGGAGCAAAGGGGGGATTTTGGTCATCTGCTAAAGATCCCGCGTCTCAGGCCTTTAAGGGGACAAGCCGGCAAGGGCAAAGTTCCTGGCATATGTGGCACACACGGCTGAGATAAGGTTCGCGATGGCATCTGATGACTGGTCTAGACTCCCGGATTTAACATGACCCAGTCTGTACCTTGAATCTTTTGGTAGATCTGAGCGCCATGACTCGTTTTGATTTGAGGAGAGTTAGGTGGCGTACAGCCGCTTACCTGGTTTGCCTGCCGCTCAGTTCCAATCTCAATATGAGACACCACATCAGTCTCAGCATTCCAACTGTTTGCAGGCCGTGCAACAGTGATAAGGCTGTGCATATAACATGAGAATTCCATTTCTGGTAGTCATGAGAGCGATCGGAGTTACTTTTGGTTGACTCGTGTTGTCTGTCGTGGGCTCTAAGCAGCGTGAGACCGCCCGCTGAGGTGACCATCATCCCCGCTCAGGCCCCTAAGGCTGAGGCCGAGGATGATGACGAGGGTATTTGGTGGCCGCAATCAGTTTTCGAGCATTAGCACTGAATTGGTCTCTCTTTTTTGCGCCAAGACTCATTCCGCAGCTTAACAGTTTCACGTTATCTCATTTAAGTGAGCTGTTGTGATTTCAAATCACCTGCTTCGTACCTTACCTTACCTCCACGCACGGGTCTGTACTGCCTGTAAGGACGTCAAACAAGGCCCATCACCTGACCTCTGGTAAGTCCATTTCCTTGGGTTGATATTACCTCGTCAGATCAATCGCGTAGAACGACAAGCCTTGATTCGGACCAAAATTGCAGTGAAGTCAAACAAGGCGCAGCTTCAAGCCTTGAGGAGGTGTTAAAATTGCAGTGTAGAAAGCGTGAAATTGATGTACGTTAAATGCATTGGAATCTAGTCAGCAATCAATATTTTGTGGTTTTTTGGCGGCCTTCATACCCAGGGCGACACCAGCTGTCCAGACGTCTTTGGGGTTTGACCTGGCTGGAGGGGATCAACCTCAACTGTTGACACCGCTGAACAACCAGGACTTTGAGGGTCTATAGAGCCAAATTGAAACTCAGTAAAGCACATACGACCACAGCTCGCAGAAAATACGGGATCCCGTCCGCTCTCCCATAGTCAAGCTGCGAAGCGCTGGATTAGTAGTTGGGTCGGTGACGACCAGCGAATCCCCGGTGTTGTATGTTTTTTGCATTTTTGACCCAAGAGGTCCTGCATTTTTGGCAGTCTTTAATTGTTGCAAATGCATAGGGGAATAGCAAGGGCTTCAATTGTGGTGTAGCAGGAGGCGGAGCTATTACAATGCTCGCTGTCAATTGCTCTGTACGGGACCATTTATAGTCAAAGGGTCCAACGGCATGGCAAGTACGGGCAGGACTACGAATCCACAGCGTAAGACGGCGATGAGGAAAGAGCTACAGACAGGCTCACTGGTGGGCAGAAGGGCGGAAGGATACGATACTTTGGCGCTGTGTCTTGGTTACGATGGGAAAATGGACGAGCATTGCCAGCGAGCGGCCGATGGGCAGTTGTTCTGTTTGGCGGCTTCAATGCGCCATGGATCATAGACAGACACAGACACATCGAAGACCATTCAATGTCTCTGGTCGAACCCCTTCTTCTCTTGATGAGCTTGGAGGTATTGGGGACGTCAACAGCCACGGTCGCGGCTTCACGGGAGGTAAGGTGTACGGGTTATTCGGTCGCAGAATGCAAAAGAATCGCGTATCGTATCGCAGCATCAGGGTCATTCGTAACGTCCCGAGGGCTCCACGGTTCTTCGTAGGCGATTGATGGACAGACACCGACACGACCGTAAGATCGAGGCGCGTTCCCGACAGCATGGTTCTAGACAATGCTGACAGTCTCGGCGCTCGTGTCGTTGAATCGCATGCCTCTACTTTCCAATGACACCAAGTTGTGGACATACGCGAGCGTGAGGTAGAGCTGGGCCGTCTCGAGTGCTTGCTTCGGTCAGGCGCGGCACGCGTCACCATCAAGGCACGCTCAAGGTTCGCCCTGTTTAGCGGTCGCGACTATCTATCGTTTTTGGGGAGTGGTCGGTCGTGGTCTGGAAGGAGGCAGTCGGACGCGCGCAACGGAGGATAGAGGATGGTTGGTGTTCGCGCGTTCAGTTTAAGATCGTGCTCGTTTTGAGTGCTCTTGAAGGGAACGCACATGTCGGCGGCATCAATTCTGACCGAATTATTGGTTCACTGTAGCGTGCGAGATGAGTCACCATCACCTTGAATGTTTGCGACAACTTGTAGGGCCATCTGCGATCGATCGCGTTTGAAGGGCAATTTTGTGTCTTTGCTAAATCCATTATACGGCAGAGCCAATGACGCTGTGGAAGATTATCGGCAAAATATCCCCGCTTTCCGTAGTTTCTATCATCGGAAAGGGATGTTCGTCTTTGCTTCCAAAGCTCTAGCAGTTTCAGAGGCAAGAAACTCGAATTAATAAAAAACATTATTGATGGTCATTTTCACTGCGTCTAGCATTTTAAGCATAGATTCTCATAATCCTAATCGAACCAAAACAACAGATGTCATCTCGCATCCTGCTTCTCTACCAGAAACACCCTTTTACTGTAAACTATTCTCATTAATTGTTCTCTTGTCTCTTTCTCCAGGGTAGTGACCATCTCCAGATAATCTTATCTTTAGCTCGTGACCCACCATTCTTATCGCGCGTCACCGATATCATCGTCCATTGGTCAGGAGCTTCTACCCCGTCGAGTCACACAGATCGCACGCGTCGCTCGGACCAATAACGTCATCATTTTCATTTTCTCGACCATAGATTCACGTCATGATTCTCGATTTCGCCTGCAAGATGCTATTTTATCCCTTCCAACCCCCCGAATTCCGCATTGTCGCATCGAAAAATCGAGTTAAACGTCGTTGTGATGGATTTCTCTTGTCATGTCAGCATAAGCAACGAGTCAGACCAGGATCTTCTTCTTGACGACTCTGGTCTCGAGAGTGGGAACTGGCCGTTACGTCAGCCGCTGAATGTCATTGAGGCGGGTACACAGCAGACCATCTATCTCGCCCAGCCCAGTATGTCGATCTCCCATTCCCCAGGTTTTAACTCATCGCTAATACGTTTCAGGTTGGGGAGGTTCCAAAGCTTGGGTTACGTATATCGCTAGATATGGTCAAGGATGGAGGGACTTTACCCTCGAGTTTGAGTGTCCTGCTTTACCGTTCTCCAAGAACCATGTTAAGGTGAAGGATTGTTCAAAGGTCTTTCAGATTGATGTAACGCATGTTCAAGAACGGGGGAGTCCATTGACTGGTAAGTCCGACATCATGTCCTCAAAATTAGAGCTAACAGGACCAGCGAATGTCACCATTCGCATGGACCCGAATGCCTATACGACGACAAGCGATCAAGTCCGCGCCAACTACGACATTGGCGTCGGCGTATCCTTCCCTACCAAAATGGATATCAAATTCCCTGTCCACGAAAGCATCGTCGTCGCAGCATTCATAAACTCCGACATGATCTTCCCCCGAGGCACAGTCTATAACAACATCAACGACAAGCAATGGGAGTTTTTCCGGGGTGTAGTCTGGAACGACGACCCTTCATGTCTACTGTTCGAAGATATTACAACGGATAACAGGATGTTCAGCTTGGGTATTGAGTGGTTGAATGCGTTCAAATTTGGAGAAGAGAAGTGCATGACCAAGAGGTCGCATATGGGAAATCTTCAGTTCTTCCATGGTATGGGCTCAGTGCTGGGCGAGAAGCCGGAGAAGACAAGGCAGAATATTCTTACGTGGATCGAGGTTATGTACAAGCTCGCATGTGGCAACCAGGGCATTTCAGAGACGGATGAACTGAAGGATGTTCTCCCTGGGTACTTTGGTAAGGAAACCGTCCCTTCGAAAACCGATACCCTCCGCGATCTTCTTCTCGCCACGACACCAAAGTACAAAGATGCCGATATCCGAAAACGAGCCTTTGGCGTTTGTCTTCACATGATCTCCGACTCCTACGCCTTAGGCCACACCCAACGCCGCCTCAAGAACCCCTCCGATATGATCGAGCGCGATACAGCTGGCTACATTCGCTTCCAGCCTGATACATATGGCGACTGGGGTTCTATCGTTTGCTTCCACACGTACAACGACCAGGATGGTGACCGACATGGACATTACGATGACAAGGATGGTGAAGTTGACCCCACACCGAAGGACGTCACGACATTTAACGAAACGATCGGCGCGAGAAACGCTATTGACGCGTGTACGAACATGATTAATATGTTCATCAAGAAGACCGAGTGGGATGATGGCGTGAAGCAGTTCTTGGAAGACGACATCTTCGTGCTGGATAGGTGTGCGAGACCATCTGATTGTTTTACTGATGAGTCTGTTATTTCCGACATCTACACGTTCAAGGAGGATATTGGGGAGAAGGCGGAGGAGTACGACTATGAAGCTGGACTGCAGCGAAAGCTCGCTTCCCTGGAGGCGGGCATTATGGCACCGACAAAGTGTGATTTGAGGAGAAGATATAGGGTTTCGGGACTCGCGATGATGTGTGTTTTTATGAGTGCTTTTATGCTCACGTTTGTTACGCTGAGGGTTCATGGGTACATGTGCTGAGGTAATGAGATTGGATAAGGATTAGAGAGGATAATTGAGGATAGGATGGACTGGATTGGCGTTTGACTTTTGTATTTACGGTTGGCTAGCGTTGTACTTACTATACCACTCTTGAAATTGTTATCAATTGCACTGTTGCCTCTATGCATCTTGTGAATCTCGGGCATGGATGAACGTCAAGAGGGTCAACGCCCTTGTCAACGACCAACCACTGTGTTCGTTTGGGTGCGCCAGGGAATTTAAAATTGATCAACAATAAACATTTCAAGCAAAAAGAAACAACGAGAGACAAATGGCCGGCAACATAAAGAAGACAATATCGTTTTTGTAACAAAAAGCAAAAGTGAGGGCTCAACCGGGGATTGAACCCGGGACCTCCTGCAAGATGAGCGAACCCAAAGCAGGAATCATACCGCTAGACCATTGAGCCGATATCCGATGTGGATACTATTAAGCACAAGAGACAAGTACATATAGACACATACAAAAAATCGCAAAGCGATACCTCCATCCTACACCAACGTCAACGGAAAGGACCTCTCTCTCCCATTGACAGTTCACGACATTCGTCTCGTCCCTTCTCGGCCCGACGATAGTAGATTAACTTTCGATTGCCTGCCATCCAGTCTTTATCACATCACCAAACTTGCTTTTCCCCTCCACGTGGAAAGTCTATTCAACACCGGATCTTCCGGTTCGGGCCATAAAATTGCCTCCCGACATACGAAAAGCCAAAAATGGACACCTCTATCCCACTTGCGAATAAAGCCCTAGAGTGATATCGGTCCGCCGATCGGGCTCGTATGTCGTTATCACTCAGACTTAAACTTTCGCTTCAATGTCGCGGATAAGGAGGCAGGATACAACTGACATCCCTGCTAAGGTAGTATTGGTTGCTTCCGCGGGGGGACCCATTTGTCTAACGAGCCTGTTACTGCAACAGGACACGATGCTGTTAGCAACGCAAAGAAGACATGTATTGGGAATAGTTGTGCTTTAAACCCGTGGGGTTAAACACCACGTGTGAGGCACTTAATGCAAGGCACATTTGTCATTAGATTGAAAGCAAGGCACGAATCTGCAGGTGACTTCTCGTAAGGCCTAACAGATAACGGTTTTAACCATAATCGGTAGGGAGACTTCTCCACGTGTGTATGCAGGGGTTCTAGTCAGGATGAAACCGGCAGTTCAATAACTGACGCGAGTACGAGTCATAAATCTGCCCAACGGAAGGCGGCAGTGCTGTTTTGTATTGTGCAGATATTACCATTGAATCTGATAAATCGGTTTGATATACGTTTGATCGCTCTGTGACCTGAGCCACAAACAAAGTCTGAAGGCCCAATCGCTGTCCTCCTTCTAAGCCAGCATCACAATCAAAGTAGGGGTCTTCGTACGGGTGTAGGGCTTTCCACAAGGGTGTTCTTCGGATCAAGGCACACCATAAGTGCCAAGACTGGTCTGGACCTGAAGGTTTCGCTTAGCGGAAAGCCCGTTCGTGAAGCTATCCAAAGTTTACAAGGGTATTAAATTCCGTCGGTGTCTTTAACAGCGGAATCTTCAACATGTGTTCATGAGATCAGTAAAGATTCGTCATTTTCGTGATCAGTCGTTTGCCCAGTGAAACGTATCTAAAGTTCGAGACCCCTGGAGAACCCGTTATTAAGTGAATAATATTTAGACGCCTGCGATGGTTACACTGGTTTTCTGCATGAAGTTCCGGCGATCCGGACTTAACACGGCAGGTACTTAAGAACAGCAGTCTTGGCGTAGGTAATTGAATTCAATTGCGAGCGCATACAACTAACTACCTCGGCAACTCCTGGCTATCATGTCCGAAGTTGTATATCTAAGTTTCAGAAAGCAAGGTATATGGCATTTTCTCAGAATAGATTTACGGTGACACCGAGTGGGAGTAATTCCCGATCAACTACTCCAACCGAGCCTCAAAAAAGTAAATAATGACTATAATTGACGGCATAAGCTGCTGAATAAGTCAGCTTTTAGTGTTGATTACTCCGATCCCTTCCTATTCTCAACAAATACCGTAGAACCCCAGACCCATAATCGACTGAAGTAATCCTCCCAGAGAGAATCAGGGCAAACGCGGAAAGAGAACCAGGATAAGGGACCCTGGATAGTTCACCAAGACCCCGCCTGTTTCGAGTGTGTTACTGCCCAAGTGATATACCCGCAATAAACTGGAGAACTTGGCTTCCGAAAACGAACAGCCGCAGCTGCACAGATGATCTTAAGTGAATACCCAGAAGGATAACAGTTCGTAATAATCCCAATACAAAGTCCACCCATGCCTTCCTTCGCTTGGACCAACAACGTTTCCTCTCAAGTCCACAATGAATATCGACCCTTTTGTGTTTGCAGCCTTTGGGCCGCCGCCCAGAGACATAGATCTGTCTGCTAACAGTGAGGCTCAAAATGCGGGTGTTGTTCTCACGTTGTTGTGCATCTCGGCTCTGTTCTTGGCGGGCAGGATAGCCATGAGGACAATGCAGGTCTATGGGTTAAGTGTGGATGATTATGCTATTCTTGTGTCGTTTTTGTTTGTGACGCTTACAGCTGCTATGGTTGTTGTTGGTAAGTCCTCTGACCAGGCAGGTTGATGTAAAGCTGACGTCGATAGGTGGATACTCTGGTGTTGGAAAACATGTTTGGGCTCTTACGATTAATCAGCTCGAGCAAGTGATAAAGGTTCGTTGGACCTGTTGATTGAAGATGAGTGATGCTAACCGTGTTAGCTCACATATGTCTACAGCTTCATGTTCGTTGGAGCCGTGTTCACTACGAAAGTTTCGATTCTCCTCTTCTACCGACGAATTTTCAGCCGCGGAGGACTTCACTTCCAAGTCGCATTCTGGTTCGGCGCTATCCTCGTGGGGGCATACCCCATCATCTTTGTGTTCACAATGGGCTTTTGTTGTACGCCTGTCTCACATTACTGGACGCAAGTCAAGGGTACTGAGGGGAAGTGCATCGACGTCGGTCACTTCTTTGTGATCTTGGCTATTATCAATCTTATCACCAATATCATTGTGCTGGTGATTCCTGTTCCGGAAGTGCTTAAGCTGCAGATGAGCAGGGGGAAGAAGGCAGCTGTGTTTGGGATCTTGGCACTTGGAGGACTGTGAGTGACAACAAAACCTCTTATAAATTGACGACTAACAATGCTCCAGGGTCTGCATCGCCAGCGCCGTACGAATCCACTACCTAAACGTCTTCGCCAACGCGGTCGATACAACATGGCACATGGGCCCAGTAGCCATATGGTCCTCCGTCGAGCCCTCCATGGGCATCGTATCAGCCTGTCTCCCGAGCTTCAAGTCGCTACTACGGCATCTCCGGGGGAAGAGTGCCGCCCGAGCGTCCACTCAGGCTACAAATAGCGGCGGTGGAAAAGGAAACAACAAGCCGAGATTCGACGATGAAATCGCCCTGAGGAGTCAGATTGTTGGGGGTGGGGGGAGCTTACGGAGTGGACAGTCACAGGGAAGCGAGATGGATAGACACATTTTTGTCAAGACGAGCGTTGAGCAGACTTTTCATGAGCTTCCTTAGATGGGGTAGATGAGATTAGATATTATGATACCACTAGTTTTGATTTGAAGAGGGATAGTTATTAATGAGATATGTCAATTGTCATTATAGCTCCCACATCGTGCTTGCCGAATTGACATTGAAGCGTCCTTTAACCCACAAACCCTTGGGCCAAGGGATCTCCCCGTTGCTAACCCTCAGAACCTACATGGACTGGCGTCTTTATATACTCATGTCGTGATTGACCATTAGAGACAGCACCAAGAACACCGATCAAGTCAGAGAGAAATCCAGCGCTCGCTTGCAAGATGACAAGAAAATCAGGTCTAATAACAAAGCTTGCTACGTAAATACAAATCTTTGATCGCTGCTGGTTGAGAAGTACAGTGCCAGGTAAAGCATCAACATCCTATAACAACACCTTATGCTGTAGCCGGCTTCCGCCCTGTGATGAAGCGATAGCTGGTGATCAGCCTCAAATCTCGAAGTCGAAACTCTCTCTTCACACCTTCCATCAACACCATGACCTGATCCTGTGAATAATTCCACACTCGCGTAAAAAGCGCAGGCGTATGTGACTCGACAGACATTTGCATGTGTGTGAGTTCAAACTTTCCCAGTTCTTTCAGCTTCTCATCCTTTGCCCAAGGTCCGATCGGTATCTGTCGTTGTTAGTAAGATTGTCAGGAAAGGTCGAAGGGATGACATACTCGATGGACCCGCTCTTGAACATCTTCAAACCCAGCATCAATCATCCACTGCTTATGATACTTCGCAATATTAATCTGCTTTCCAAACATCTTACTCGCGTCATCTAATTTGTTCACCCACTCCATCGTCCAAGGCGCCCGATCACAACTATCGTCATCGCTGAATATCCAGGCATCGTACTCTTGCATCTCAACATATCCACCCGGCTTAAGATTCTCAAGAACTCTGCTGTAGAAAAGCGGCCAGTCTGCCGATGTACCGCATAATGCTCGACCGTGGATGTAGTCGAACTTTTCATGATCGCGATACGTCCACTCATCTTCGTAATCGTCAACGTGAAACATGCAATTGCCAGGTACCCAGTCAGGTTGGATGGGGGAAAGATCGACGCCGGATACGGTTGCATTTGGATATTCATCAGCCATTTCGATAGCCCAAATTCCAGTGCCGCAGCCTAGATCCAGAATGCGGTAGTCATTTTGCTGATCTGATGGCGGTAAAGGTGCTGCGTGGAGTGCTCCGCCTAGAAGTAATCGCCAGATATGATGCTGAAGATCTAAACGCTGTTGCTCCTGGTCATCATTTGGAAGAACATATTGTCCTTCTCTGTAGGCGTGATAGCGACGACCATTTTCGTACTGGTAGTCGAAGATGGATGAGGTTACGGATGCGGTGTAGGATGAATCTCTGTCGGACCCATACGTGGAGTCTGCGTCATCACCAGGCAATTCCTCCTCCTAATTGTACTTGATAAGAATACGACGAGTCATTTAGAGAGTTTAAAAAAGGCTTACATCGACTTGTAGCGGCGCATGCTCCTCTTCTTGCCGATCTTGGTTCTGGTTGTCGACAGGGCTCTTTGGCGATTGGCTCATTTCGAGGTTCCGAGGAGAAGTCTGACCCGACAGATTGGTAACGGGTGGAGGAGATGACGATTCCCGATCAAGGCCCATGTTTGACGAATCCTTCACTAAAAAATAGGTAGTAGACCGGTGTTTCTGATGGCACGGTGAGAGGGAAAAAAAGAGGGAAAAATATAAGATGACTCTTGCCACGTGGAAAAACAATAGAAATGAGCCGGAATGGCCGCGCCTGTTCTTGATTCGATAGAACGCGAGGCAAAGACGAAAGCGGAAAAGCCGCCGCCTCTTCTCTCAAGCCACAAGA